CTCCTAATAGATAGACTCTGAACTTCGCGAGTGCATACTTCATGGCAAGTAGTTCCTTGTCATGCACTGGATAGTTCCGCTCAGCTGGTTGCAGCTGACGCGACTGATAGCAGACGACGCGTTCAACGCCTTCAAGGTCGTACTGCATTAATGCACAGCCGATTGCGAAATCGCTGGCATCACAGACCACATGAAATGGCCTGTCCTGATCGGCTATTGCTAGGACTGGGGATTGTATCAAGCTCTGCTTGATACCCTCAAAGGAGCGTTGACATTCAGCGTTCCATAACCACCTCTCGTTCTTTTCAACAAACGAGAGAGGTGTACAGTCATCTCGGCGTAATTGCGTGAATACTTATGCAAATACGCCGCTAGCCCAAGGAATTTTCGAAGACCTTTGACATCGACCGGCACGGGCCAGTCGGTGATCGCCTTGATCTTTCGGGATCAGGACGTACACCGTTCTTACCAACGATGCACCCAAGAAGTGGTATTTCGCTTGCTGCAAATATACACTTCTTGAGGTTTGCATACAATTGATGCTTTCGCATGATTGTAAGAACTTGTCGGACGTGGTACCTGTGAACCTCAACGTCCGACTTTCCATCCATAGCTCGACTATGGATGAATACGTCATCGAAATAACTCGGCGCGAATTCTCGTACTGGTCTCAACAGATGTGATACACACTGTTGAACGTTGCAGGGGCATTACTGAGCCCTTGTGGCATTACTAGCCATTCCCAGAGCATGCCGCTAGGCGTGCTAACTGCGGTATAGGGTATATCCCGTTCCCGCATTAGGATTTGATAGAAGCCATCCATCAAATCCATGGACGAAAAGATGGTACTCTTTGACATACCATCAATGATTACGTCCTTCCTCGGTATCGGCGTCTGAGCCGGTACCGTTGCAGCGTTCAATTTGTTCAACGCGTGCACTATCCGCCACCCTCCTGTTGCTTTTCGCACACAGAAGGTCGGAGAGCTATGTGGGGAAGTTGATTCCCTCACATGGCCCGCTGCTAAACGATCGGCAAAGAACTTGTCGATCGCAAGTACTTGTTCACGAGGCAGTGGCCACTGCTTCATGACACAGTACTTCGAGCCTGGTTTAAGCTCGACTTCGTGTCGAATACCTTTATCCTTCGGTAATTCGCACGGAACAGTTTCAGGGAATACATCCTTGAATTCAACCAAATCTTCATAGAGAGGATTTTCCTTGAGCGATTCCCATGATTGGGACTCATATCGCTCAATTCGTGTCTTTTCATCTAGGACACTCTCGTCCATCGATGAACTACTGAGAACTCTCTCGTTCTCAGTAAACACTGTTGCTGACCTTATGTCGGTTACATACTCGTCGTCAGCGACGAGTATGCAGATCTGCTTGACTTTGCCACTACGCAGATCACGCAAGAACCTTTTATGTTCGAGCGTTGGCAACTGAGTGATCTCCGAAGTTAACTTCGGAGGCGCAATCAGATCAAGTTATAAGCGCCTACACATGATCCGTTATTGACTATGACATTCAATGTCTCTGTCATTTCCTGGGGACTTATTCCCTCAGGCTTCGAAGGACTTATTCCTTCGTCTTCCCGGGGACTTATTCCCGCGGGTTTCGGGAACTTATTTCCGCCGTATTTGTAATCTTGGGACTTATTCCCTTTACTTCCTCTAGCTGGGGTTGCGCAACCACAGCGAGATCCTCTACGAAAGACTCTCCAGTCGATCTAGGATTATCGTTTCGCTTAACCTGAGCGATCAATTGTTTCTCTTCTAGATGTTCCCTTCTAGGGATACATCTTTGTCCCAGTCCACCCGACTTTTTCGAGTGGTGGACCTTCGGCGCAGCCTGTGTTTCCTCACAGCCGCCGGAACTTTGCTCCGAAGTGTAACCGTTTGGTACACTAAGGTTTTGTGCAGTCGTACTAACGACCGTACCACAAGTGAGGCCATCGCACTCACTCGTAGTACATCCACACGCTTGTGGACGCTCCAAAACGTTCATCAGATGGCCATCTGATGAACAAGCGGCAGGCATCGTTACTGTCCGATGTTGCCAGTTTACCCGTGGTTCGTACCTTCTGAGCCACGGTATTCCAAGGATGACATCAAATTTGTCATCCAAATCCAATACGATAAAGTCATCGTCGTATTGGGTATCTTCTAGCGTATAGTGAATCTTCACTATACGCTTCATGACGGTTACGGATGCGCCTGTCGCAAGACGTACCGTCATCCTCGTAGGAGGTGTGTCACATTCACTGAATTTAAAGTGACCATCTTCTAGCGATTGGCGTCGCACAAAATTGTTGGACGCCCCACAATCGACTAGAGCTCGAAGGGACAACTTATTCGTCACTTCGAGTTTCAAGGTAATGAGTGAGATCTCATTACCTAGAGCAGCAACGCACAATGTCTGTGTGTTGGGAGCAACCTTCATCAAGAGGCCTACAAATTCTCTTGACGTTGCTGGATCAGTAGGTGCTCCGCACCTACTGATCCTGTCCGTTTTTTGACGGTCCATCCCGTTGTTGCGTCTTTGCACCAACTGCGGACCCTCGTCCCTTCCCCTTTCTCATGGGTGGACGGTCACTACGCCCAGTGTCGCGAGACACTGGACGAGGGGCACTACACTCGTAAGCGTAGTGTCCTGTCTTTTGACATCTGTTGCATCTCTGCAACTTCTTGTAGCCTGTAGAGCGAGCCTTCTCGCTCTCTACATAACAGAGTTCCATCGGCTCTGGACCTCCGTTGTCATATCGTCTCGGTTGACGATATGATGTCGAGCTGGCGCGAGCCTGTCTCAGACTGAAGTCTTCCTGTACCACAATGAAAATGGCTTGTTCTAGTGAATCCAGATCAAGTCAGAACAGGTGAGTCTTGACGGGACCATCCGCAAGACCCTGCATGAACACCGAAACCAACGTGTGTTCACCAACCGGGTTGGAACTTATACAACTCATGAGATGTCGTATATGTTGCGCGTAAGCGTGCACAGCACGCTTACCCTGCTTGAGCTTCAAGAGTTCGTTTCGAGCCCTGAACTCAGCTCTAGGCGGTTCAAACGTTTGTCTGAGCCGCGACTTGAAGACTTCCAACGACCCAAACGCATATGGGTCGTGCAGCTTAAGCCCCAGTGCCCAAGTCTTGGCACGTCCTGCCAGATTAGGCCGGGCAAATGCAGCTTGCATATCCCCGTCGTCGATGCGACGCGCCCTTATGGCGTCATCCAATTCGACGAACCATCTCAAGAGGGGGTCCTCTTCGACTCCCTATACTTGGAGATGTCAATCTTCAAGGTCTCGGGTCGACGCGAGTGCATCGATCCACCAGCAGCAGCCTGCTGCTGTCTCAACAGTTCAAACTGTTGAGCACCTTGTTCTCTCAACAACTCTGCTTGTTGAGAACCTTGTTGGTGAAGCAAGGCTACTTTCTGCGTTCTGCGTCAAGTTCATTTTGAATGAACTTGGCGATAGTAGCATGTTGGGCATCTCTATTGAGAGCCTCTAGCATGACGCTAACAGCATGGATGCCCATGGTCGAACCCATTCGTTCAACCGCATCCCATTCTACATCGCTCAAATGGGAGTAGCCGTCACGCGTAGCGTGAAAGCTTTGGTCATCTTCATCATCCAACATATTCATGTTGGATGTGAACGCGGTCCTTGGACGGACTACGAAGTGCTACCAGGTGTAACGGGGCACCCTGAAGCTTGTACTGGTGACAGTACAAGCTACTTATTCTGATAACAGAATAAGGCGGTGCCTCGTAACTTCACGTACACTCGTACGTGCAGAGGAAGACGGTAAGAAGAAGCGAGTACTTGGTTAGAGTAAAAGTAGAACTGTATTTATAATAGTTAATGTCTGCAATAAATCACTATTTATCTTCATCTAACTATGTCTAAATACAAATGTGTAAATCAGTTATCTGCTCACCACTCATTGCGTGCGTCTGTCGTGGCGCGTCTTCGTTGGTTGATATAATGGCCTATATCAACCAATTAGGAACTACTTGGAAGTGCTACAGAATATTGTCCTTATGACAATATTCTGAGAATATAACTCTTATAGTTATATTCTATTAACAATTTCTTATAAATTGTTATGTAACGATTCACCCCGTTACAGTTAAGCTTGTCATGTAGCGAACAAAAGCGATATTCATCCACAAGGTCCCTGTCATGAAATATTGACGGGACAAATGCATAAATATGTTCCGTCAAGACATACCGGAACATCAAACTCAGCTGAAATAGTAATTCTTTATGGTTTAAGTAGGTTTGTGACTATCTATCGTATAAAAAAGGGGAATACTGAAGTGAAGCCAATGGTGTAATGGTACGTCCTGTGGGCTGAACGTCAAGAATCGAGGACGGTAAAAACTACTTAGTCGGACATGAAACTCATGCATTTGTGGTAGAAAGAGATTTGGTCGTATTGCGAAGCGATACCAACTCTCCACTGGCGCCCGGTCAAACTACTGAAAGAGAGAGCAGTCCAGATTGTGTATCTTGTCTTGTTCCTTCTAACCTTCTATACCCGTCGGCCGGCGGTTACACTCTTCAAGGTGGCTTGAGGCCGATGTCTGTCTTGACGGAGTTGAGAATAGGTGGGGTGTGGCCGCGTAGGAATTTTTCACAAGACCAACAGTTACTTAGAGCGATCTCCCATAGTCGCCCTGACCTGCGATGGGGTCGCCTTGCTTGTTGGAAACTGGATGCAAGTCAACGGTGGACAATGAAGTAAAGGGTGGCGGTTGACAATACCTTTTCCAGGGAAGGTTTTATCTGGAAGGTATTTCGTAGAAGATTCCTCCTGACATGAAGACATGCATTGAGTAGACTCAGTCCAAAAGTTTCCCTCCAGTAAACAAGTTGTTTGTGAGTGCGTAGCCATTGTTTCTCTTTATCAATACTCTATTAGGGTTATGATCCCAAAGACGACCTGCTATTAGGAGAAGCGCTAAACAAGACTACACTACAACAACTATACCATGTATTCCTCATCGGACTCTGAGGACGGCAAGAGAAAAAGACACAAGGAGATTAAGTTGGGATCGCAAGGCACTCCAGTAAATTGGAATGGAGAAGACTGGACCTTCTACAAGCACGCGATGCTCAACGCATTCGAGCAAAACCTACTCGATGAGATCGCAGCAGGAGGCGTTGTGGAGGACGCATCCTGGAATCAAGCCAAGAAGGACAAGTTCAAGAAAAGTCAAGCCGAGGTGAAGATTCTTATTCAAGGCTCGTTGTCGATGAAGCTGGCCAAGCAGGTGATGTCGAAGAAGACAGGAACCGAGATGTGGCACGAGCTCTGCTCAATTTTTGAATAGAAGCAAAACTCAGCCATGATAGCGCAGAAAGTGTACCGCCTCCAAAGCGAGCTACACAGGACCCATTTGCGTCCAAATGGTGACGTGAGAAGTCATTTGTACACTTTGTTCGACATCAAAGACCAGCTCGAGGACTTGAATTCTCCTGTAAATGATTTACAGATGGTGGACATGATGCTGCGCAGTCTCCCGACGCAGATGTGCTATAATGAACTCAGAAGAAAGGTATTATTTAGCTCAAATATGAGTAAATATACGCCTGAGATAGTTCGCGAGATGATATTCACCGCCGAGTCGCGCAGTAAAGACTGGGAAAGCTATGCATTCGGGAGCGCTCAAGGCAAGAAGAAGCCAAATGGTCCAACTACTGGATCGAGAGGTGGCATGAGGCAAACCTTGAGAGACGATAAGACGAGAAAAATCAAGAATCATGATTTTGAGTGTCATCATTGTGGAGGTAAAGGCCATTACAAGAGAAATTGTCCACAATTGATGAATGAAGAGAAGTCGCGTGGAAGAAAAAGTGCTCACGCAAAGTACGCCAACTCTGGTAGCAAGACGAAAATGGAAGAGAAGGGCGAGCCTTTATTGCAACGCAAGGTGCAAGCAGATAAGCGCTACGTGGTGATAGGAGAAGCTACAAAGTTGATGTCAAAGTATTCAACTTCTAGCAAATGGTATTTCGACACGGGTACAAATGCCCACATAGTGTCCTCCAAGGAATACTTTACTGTACTACAGAGTATGGAAGACAGTGACTGGAATCCAATGATATCCGGATTCACACTCAATGGAGCGAAAGCAAAAGCTGAAGGATTTGGTACGATTATTCTTGCAACAGTTGTTGATGAAGAATTGGTAACAGTGTTCGTGGAAGACGTTCTCTACGTCCCTCAAGCTGGATGCAATTTGTTTTCGCCTGGTTTGGCTATGGACCAAGGATTCAGCATGTCATGGGACCCGAATGCTAAGATATTTACTATGACGAAAGACGATATCGAGGTGATACGGACATATCGGAAGCACCGCCTATGGACGTTTACTGCTCAAAATGCAAATAATACTGCACAGCACAAGAAAAACATTACCACGAAGCGACAAGTTATTGCTAACTTTGCAGTGACTGATGGTGTGGAAGATATCGATGTCTGGCATGAACGACTGGCACACACGTGTCCAGAATATATCCGGTTGATGGTTGATCGTGGCCTGGCAAAAGGTATCATGCTAAAGAGACGTGGGAAATTCGATTGTGTAGACTGTCATGTTGGTAAACAGCGGCGAAAGTCATTTCGAAAGGCGTTAGATAGAAATATCGCGAACGTTAATGACATTGTTTTTGCCGATTTGCTGATACCAGGAATAGGCAATGGATCCCCATACACCGCCGTCCTAGTCGTTATGGATGGATACTCACGTTACGTCAGTGTCTTCATGCTCAAGTCTAAGTCTGAGAATGAAGTCAACAAATTCATGCAGGAATATATTGCTTGGGCTGAACGACAAGTTGGCAAGAGGGTTGAGGCTGTGATTACTCATCAGTTGAGTGAAGATTCTCAACGAAGCCAAGGAGCTCTCGTGAGGCAAGTCCTTACAGACAAAGGGCAGGAATTTTGCAATGGTACAATGGCACAGTGGTATCAAGAAAGGGGCATAGTGCATACAAGAGTCGGCCCCAAAGCGTCCCAACTAAATTTAGTTGAGCGCACACACCAGACATTGATTGGAATGGTGAAGACCATGATGCACCAGTCTGGATTACCTAAATCATTTTGGGTGCATGCATTAGTAACAGCTGCCTACATCAAAAACAGAGTGTATTGCAAAGGGGCAGGACGCACTCCGTATGAGTTGATGTTTGGTTCGAGACCGGACGTTCATCACATCCGGGCGTTTGGGTCACTCACTTATTGTCACACGCCAAGAGAGAAACGGAAAAAGCTGAGCTTGAATTGCCGAGTGGGATTCCTCATTGGATATCACGAGAACATTGTTGGTTGTCATGTGTACTTCCCAACAGAGCACATGAAAGGATATGTGTCAGATGTCAAGATAAATGAGGCTATAAAGTATAAGGATCGTTTCGACAGTGGATATACATCAAAAGTCAGACGGTGGCTCCAGACACTAAGTGAATACGCTGAGGAGGGCGCATTTAATGATTCTAGTTCTGAAGAATCCGAGGTGTCACATCTGACTGACATTGTAGCAAGCATGGATTGTAATAGCAGTACCATTCAGATGGAGACTGCTGAATCCGATCCCGACACTCTAAATGAGGCAGACCAAACCTTGTGGAATGACATGCTACGCAATAGTATTTTACCAGAAGTGGTCCAGACACAAGGACAAACCAGCGAACAATATTTCAGTGCGAGCAGTAGCGACAAAGAAGAAGGTCAGGAGAGCGAATCTGGTGAAACGCAGGGGGGAGAGCTAGAACCCAGTGACAGCGTTTCTCACGAACTATCTGAACATGCTACGCCGGGGGAAGAGTTAGCACCCAGTGACAGCATTTCTCAAGAATTTTCAGAAGATGCATCGGATCCTCCAGCTGATTCTACAGCACATTATTGCGCCGAATATTGTGACTCTGTTCCAGATAGCAACAAAGCAGTTGCAAATGACTCGGATATTTATGACGACGATAAAGACGATGCGGAATCCGGACTTGAGTCGCACAATGACGAGGAAACAGCTGACGATGATAACGCTGATGATGATACAGACGCAGATGATGATACAGCTTCAGGTGAAGAGAGACTGCTCACTGATACTGGACATATAACAGACCCTGAAGTGACTCGAAATGAATCTGTCTATGCTGCAAGTGACTACAATTATGATTGTTTATTCGATCCTTTATTCGATCCAAGTGACATGTTGGAGGCTGTGAACGGCACCACGACGTTGACCATTGCCAATGATCAGCTGATCGGCCACAGAAGACCCAGAGATGTCGAAGTCAGGCGAAGTAGAGAGCACAAAAGAATAAAAGAGGATCACAAAAGAGCAAAGATCACTCCGCGTCTACCCATATTGAGAAAGAATGATCAGCAATGTATACTGAACCAGCGCGAAGATTTCACGGTTAACGCTGCATTCAGAACACCAAAGAACGTTGAAAGCGAAGCGTACGGTACTCGCGCAAGTGATATTCGGACACCAAAGAACTTTCGTCAGGCGATGTGCTCGAAATATGCAACCCAGTGGAAAGCAGCTATGGACGAAGAATTGGAAGCAATGAAGTCCAAGGGAGTGATCACATTAATTTCGAAACGAGAGATGCCTGAAGACACTAAAGCGATCAAGACAATGTGGGTCTATAGTGTTAAAACGGAACACTTAGGCAACGTTATCCGTCTTCGAGCAAGAATTGTGGCTCGAGGTGACAAACAACGCCCAGGAATTGACTATGGAGAAACCTTCAGTCCTGTAGCACGTATGGCGACTTTCAGGATGTTCGTGGCCATTTGCCTATTGATGGACTTGACCATTTACCAGGGTGATATCAACACGGCCTACCTGAATGCACCCTTGGGGATCAAGCAGTACTTGGACTCTCTAGATGGATATCCTTCTGAAACTGACGACATGGTATATGTTGTTCACAAGGCACTGTATGGTCTTAAACAGTCTGGTCGAGAGTGGAACACCGAAGTAAATGCGTGGTTTTTACGGTATGGGTTTAAGCGTTGCACTACAGAACCGTGTCTGTATTACTACGATTCAGGTTCTAAGTTCGTATTGGCACTACTCTACGTGGATGACATTCTGTGTGCAACCAAGAATAAATTGTTCAAGACGAAAATGTTTCGGAGTCTGGACGAGGTCTATGGAATGAAGGATCAAGGTCTACTTAGCACTTATTTGGGTGTTCAAGTAGAGAGAAGCGATGATGCGATTAAAATTCATCAGACGAAATACTGCGAAGACGTTATCAATCGTTTTAACTTTGGAGATGCGCACGCTAGCAGAATTCCGATGGAAACAAACATACGACTTGCTGTAAACGATACGGATACCGCGAGGGCCAAACGCATACCTGACAATGGCAAAGAATTTCCATATCGTGAGCTAATTGGCTCATTGATGTATCTGGCAACATGTACGAGGCCAGATCTTGCGTATGTGGTCGGGCAGCTTAGTAGATACGTGCAAAGCCCAACACAACAACACATTGGCGCAGCCAAGAGAGTGTTAAGGTATCTGGTGGGTTCCAAGACTCATGGAATTGTGTTCCACGCAAACAATGATGGAAAATTAAGAAGTGATTTAACCGTTGAGGGATTTTGCGATGCGGACTGGGGAAACGACCCAGACACGAGGAAAAGCATTACTGGATATGTACATTGCTTGGCAGGAGGTGCGATATCGTGGGCGTCACGACGGCAGAGTATCGTGGCTCAATCTACGGCTGAGGCCGAATATGTAGCAGCTTGCGAGGCCTGTATGGAAGGGAGGGGTCTCATTCAGGTTCTAATCGAGATATTCCCAAGGTTGGTGTCGAAGTTTCGTCTCGGGATTGACAATAAAGCTGCCTTTGTGATGGCTACAAACCCGACCTACAGTCGCAGAACACGACACATTGAACTACGCTGGCACTACGTTCGAGATCAGTATGTGAAGAAAGCAGTAGAACTGTGGAAAGTAAAGACAGACGTGAATCCCTCAGACTTGATGACCAAGCCCCTGGCGAGTGCGCGTTTTGAGGCACTTATCACCATGATAAAGATGACCAAGAACGTTTTGCCGCAGTAACTACTGACGGAGGAGGGCGTGTTGGAAACTGGATGCAAGTCAACGGTGGACAATGAAGTAAAGGGTGGCGGTTGACAATACCTTTTCCAGGGAAGGTTTTATCTGGAAGGTATTTCGTAGAAGATTCCTCCTGACATGAAGACATGCATTGAGTAGACTCAGTCCAAAAGTTTCCCTCCAGTAAACAAGTTGTTTGTGAGTGCGTAGCCATTGTTTCCCTTTATCAATACTCTATTATTGCTCAAATGTAGATACTTGATTCCCTTGTCCTTCTAATCACTTGAGACTTCTATAGACCTTGCATTTCATGCTTGCCGCGTCCGATCGCGGGATATCTTGAATGAGTATCCTAGCAAAGCAATTTAGGGACAAGCCTTGAACAGACACGTGAGTAGTAAACCTTGAATGTGTGTTGGCCGATGCTATTCCAGCTTGGAGGGATGCTGACGCGTTTCGTTTGTAGTAAAATCATTACTGTTTGTTATTAGACTATGAGGAGGTATAATTGCGCTTACACCTATCTGTGTATCAGTCTTATTACGTCATTTGCCTCCCGCAATCCATTCCCTGTGATTGAAGTTACCCACCTCAATTACCAGCATGACCGCCAGTCGTCCACAGTGACCGTGACCGCAGGTCATCCGTAGAGACCACGACAGCTGGTCGCCGTCTGTGACCGTGACTGATGACTGCTCCACCTTTCACTGCATCGATAGAAATACATGGCGATCAGTTCCAAGGCCGGCGTGCGGTCCCACATGTTCACAGGATGTGAAAACCTGCGACTAGTCAGGATTTATCCCGACCACTTGATCACGCTATCAAATGAAGGAGTGCAATATGGGTGCCACGAAAAGGGCGTAGTGCATCGTCTCTTGCCGCAAAATACTTTTCGACTAAACCTGAGCGGATTCACTCTGCTTTCGAGTTCCAGATCATGCATGGCTCAGGTTTTAGGCCATGTATCCCACCTTCTTTAGGACCTTTCAAATTCGTTTATAGATAATCCCCCAGATTCGTGGAGGCCGTAAAACTCCTCGTCTTTTATTCCGAAAACAACTCGGATTGCACAATAATTCAAGAAAAATACTTACACACTGCTTTGTCTTCAGATCCGTATTCAGGCATGCAGTCAAGAAGCCACCAGCATGGACTTTTAATGATATTTTTGAGCCAGGCCTAACCTTAGTCGAAAGGAAGCCATCCTATCGACAGAACAAAAGGTTTCGTGATTGCCTACCCCGGACTTTTAATAATTGCCGTAAGCTACAAATTTTAAGTGAAATGGGTAATAAGTCCATCAGAGTCACTTTTGCTTGAAGTTGCCTCATGTTACTGAAATCTCGATGCGATGTAGCACTAAGATCCCCCCAGTACCCAACAAACGACCTTTTTATGCATGACGTGCATCTCTTTTTTATACCTTATAACCACTTCTATGACCACTGTGACTTCAGAGCGACATTAAATCCTCGAGGTACTTTATTTCAGACTCTAGCCATTCTCCTGTGTCGGTGTCATCATTTTCGATGATCGTGCCCTGCATCATGGTGGAGTTCACATGGTAAATGCCGAGAATTTTTGACAACATTCTTGCACATTTGCTTCGTCGTACTTCCACTGCCGCCTAAGCCGAATATAAGTGGTCGCAGAGCAAGAAGATCGTCGTTTAGTCTCGAGTACGCCTCCGCCTTATTACTGCTGATATGGATCAATAATCTCAACGGCTGCGGGTTCGTCAATGTTGAAAGGAACAAATCTGTCACAGAAATTCTCTTGTCTGCGGTAAACGGCTCATCTGGGTCAGGATTTCGATGTAGTCTTCAGAGCCGATAAAAGATGTCTGATAGCATTAATATATTACTAAATGAATACCAATATTCATGACTTTTACTCTCAATACATTAATCTTTCTCCGTCGCTTGAGCTAGAGAACTTGGGTTATTACTCGCTAGTTCATCGACCTCTGCCACGGCTTCTTCGGTCGTACGTAAACCTGTTCGTTGGCTATCGTGCTAGTGTCAGAGAGAAGGTCTGTGATACTGAAATAAAAGAAATCTGGCATAATTTCTTGCCCTAGTGTTTTTCTGCCTTGCCTCTTAACCGCTCATGTTCACCCAAGCGGTTCCCTGTAGCCGAATCTGACCGAAGCTAAAATACGACAGACCCTAAGTCGTTAGCCGTTACTTTAACCACCCCGGAACGCCTTTTCATGCATGTACTTACCTAGCATGAAAAGACTTATCGACTCAGAAACAGTGCAATTTTCAACAAAACCCGTATCAGTGAGGCAAATGCTCTCCAACTTCTTAGAAGCGTCATTCTCTTCGCTTTCATCCTAAGCAGTAGTATATTGTAATCTAAACGTATTTTAAATTCGTGTCTGTATCCTCAATATCACATAATAATTGCCCATTTCCTACATGCATCAGAAATACATTAAAAAACCGTTGTACTATCTATTTGTGGTCTTTCAGTAGACTCAGAATCAGATTCTCGCTCAACATCAGCTGTGCAGGTGGTCGCATCCACACTCATTTTGCGGAAGTTCATACAGCTGTCACTGGTATCGCTGCTCTCTGGTGTTGAGGTCGAACAGTGGAAGGATAAAAATTATATCTTGTCGAAAAACACTGTCAAGATGTGCTCTCACAATACAGATTGCGAATGCACACTCCAATCGCATATTAATAGTAATTACCGCACGATTCATTTCAGAGATCGATGCTTGTGGTAAAAATAAACACACATTGTAGTTTGAATACCGGGATGCTATAGGTAGCCTAGTGTACCTAGCTACAAGCTCGAAACCAAAATCTTCTTTGTGGTTGAAAACCTGAGCAGATTTTTCAACAAACTGACTGTATGCATTGTGGAGTAGTAGAGAAGGTTCTGCGGTACCTATTTGGTTTGCCAGATTAGAAAATTGTGTGTAAGTGCACTTCGAGGGGTAAACTCGAAGAAGAACTTTTCATTAAAGGTGATTGTGACAGTATTAAAAAATATGATCTGGAAGCATGTATGGCCTAGCTAAATACATCGTTAGTCTGACAGGTCAAGCTATCGGATGGGCAACACGATACAGAAAAACTATCAATTAAAGTTAATTGCAACAGTATTAAAAAATTGACCTGGGAGCATTGATAGTCTGACTTAGTACATCGTAAGTCTAACAGGTGGAGCTATCGAATCGATTGTCGCACTATCCACCGCCAAAGCATAGTCTTGGCCGGTGCTTAAGAATCTTTTAAGGACACTGGGTCTGCAAAACATTTTGGTATAAGCACTCTCGAGCGTGTAAGATATAATGAATATCAAAATCGAAGACCTAGCTGCAATCGTCATGAGTACGGATCAAATTTAAAGCAGACGACCCAGACAATTTGAGCTAAAGCGGAACTACACTCGTGAGCTCATTAAGAAGGTCAAGTTAACACTGCGCGAGGTTGCATCCAAGGTAAAATCTGTAGGTATCCTATCGAAGGCATTAGCAAGCCGTCTCTTTTAAAAAAAAAATTTTTCATGCTTGCGAAGGTTCGGATTCCAGATAGGTCCGACAGACGCAGCAATGCGTTACATGTTTTAAACGGTGGCGTGTTGGAATCCTTTAGGTTTGGATAGCTGGATAGCTCTCACCCAGTCCCATCTGAGAAGGTATACGGGCAATTGAGTCATCCGGGAAAGTTATGATAGAAAGGTATACAGTGCTTTTAGTTACGGTGTGTATAGTTGCATGCCGATCGAATGTGTCAGCTGTAGATACTAGCAAGTCTTGCTGCTTGCTGGATCAGTTGGCATGTATACAGGGAAAAGAAAAGAGATGACAGAAAATTTCCGAGCGGTTTCAGTGAGTAACTCTTATGCATTTATAACAAACACCGTCTATGATAAAATTCATTAATTAGCAGGCAAATTCCTCCTTGATACAGTTTCCTCCTGAAACGTAGTCAGCGGCTATATTTTGGGGGGAAATCCGATTGATCTCGAAACACATGCCCAAGACTAATAAAATCATTGAATCCCCATACCATGAAAAGTCCGTTCCTCCAACTCATCGTATAATAGGTACTTATTGTGTACGTCGTACATTTTATAATATCGAAATCGTGAGTAATTACTTTTTTTACTCAGCGTTATACGTTGCCTCGAGGCAGTTGCACAACATGCTCAATCGCAAGATGGCGTGCGAGGTGAAAGAGAAGGGACACCAAACGCGTTAAGGTCTATTGTAACGAGTTTGGGACAGCGGCCGTCTATGACGTCGATAAATCGCGGTGGTGAACGAGCGCAGGCTGCGTTCGCACTCTTCCAAGTGATATCTCTTTAGTGTCCGAGTTAAATCACCCTTCTAGCTTCTGCTTCAGTACGTGCATGTGCGTTTTCTTTTATTGAAATTATGAATAAAAGCAGTGAGATGCGCGTTAGTCCACTCGATTTAATTTAAATTTCTTTAAGAACGCCTTGTGTGAAGCCTGGAGAAAGATCAACGATCGCGATGGGCAATAAAAAACTGCAGAAGCGCTAAATTTTGCCATTTAGTCCGCTGGCACGATAGAGCACGCGCAACGTCTCTAGGACAGCAATGGCGCATTTCGAACAAATACTGCGCTCGTCAAGGAACTTCAAGATGTTTGCCTCTGTTTGCAAGCCAAGCTCGACATGTCCTTGCGGGTAGCAAAAATTATCTCGACCAGTGTAAACTATGTATTGAGGAACATCTTGAAGACTTAACGAGTAGCTTCAAGTCTAAATTCTTCTGATTCTCTCCGGGGGCGCTCCAGTAGTACGGGGTACGCGCGAACTACTCGAACTACACTGAGTGAAGGTGCGTTATCGACGACTGCTTTCTGTGCTTTGTAGATCTGTCGATATGTTTATCCTTCTTTCTTGGCTTGTTAGATGATTAAGGTCCGTATCTTGTTGAGCTTAGCTTCAAGAGCATCCATGCGCCCGTCTTGGTCTTTAACACGTTGGTAAAATAGTCTATTACCAAACTTGGT